AATTCTTGATTTAAGGAGCCTTTTATATATCTCAACATCCATTTGACAACAAGCCCTTGCATTTTTTTGGGATTAGCCATAAATTGAGTAGTAATACTCATAGAATAATTAAGATCTGGTCCATTGCATACATTAATCTTCTAACTACATTTCCATATTGAGCATTCTTTTTTTTTTTTTTTTTTTTTTTTTTTTTTTTTTTTTTGAGAGAAAATATTGAGCATTCTTCATATATGACTTTTCTTCCCTAGTTTTTTAGCATCAGCTAATCATATTTTAAAATGATTATTAATTGGTGTTTACACATTTTTAGCATCAAGCATTCCAAATACGCATTATACATTGATCATTTTTGAACTTGTGAAAGAAATAGTTACATTCACTTATATTTCTCTGAATTTGTATATCTAGGATTTTGCTAGCAGATGTCCTTCACTTCAAATTTGGCTGACATATCACATAATTCAAACATCTCTAAGGTATTTAAATACTAAAGAAACAATTAATAATTAAGAAAGTCAATACAGGATGTTCGATGAAGTATTTTGGATTTCAATCATATTTATGAGGCATGATACGCTCAAAGGATCTTAAATCTTATACTTTTGCTTGAGATTCAAATAAGTTTTGAGGCTCCAAGGATCTCATAGTACCACGCAAGCATCACAGCCAAATATTATTCATCTTCTATTAAACCACTATTTGAATCAAGAGGCATAAATCTCAAGGTATATTTGAGTTGAAAAACTCCAAAAATAAATTCAAGGCCATTCAAACTTTAATTTTAAGAAACTGCATTAGATCTAAACATGTCAATGAGATGAACCTAATGATACCAAAACTTGTCCAATCGAAGCTTGAATGAAACCAAATCAAGGGCCTCAGGCGTTATTGGAAACTTAAGGGCATTAATTAGACAATGAAATTATCTCCAAATTTGGCATGCTCAATGGAGCTCTAAGGATCCTAGAGCACCACTTGAGCACCACTGCCAAATAACATTCATCATCATTGGCCATTGTCTGACTGTCATTGCCAGATCAATGACCAACCACAACCATTAAGCCAAGGCCTAACCCCCACCATAGTACAATCACCTGATGATGTCATTGGGCCATCGCCCGATAACCACTGTCGAAGTATTGCTCGATCTCCATCACCGCATCAAGATCCTTCGGACTTTAGTCACCTAACTACAATTCTTTTTCGGCCTCCATCTCCCTATGATGCTCCTTTCGATCAATTTCACCCAACTACGGTCCTCCAATGGAAAAAGAAGTGTCTTATGATTTATAAGTTAGGTTTAAAAAGAATTACAAAAAATAAGAGAGAAATATATATTTTCTATACAAATAAATTTTAGTTTTTGCTCTCTATTTTTCTATTATTTTTAAATTACATTTCATTGAAATCCATTTAACTCTAAAGTATATAATTTCGGTCCAAATAAATCGTAATTTTTATTGCATTGAAGTCCGAAAGATGGCTATTTTTTCAATTATTTTTTATTGATTTATGATTTGTGAGGGAGCGATTCTTAAATCCATTAAATATTATTCATACTTGATAGTTTGATTATCCCTTTTTTTCTTAGATTAGATAACATTAAGCTCATTTATTATTATTATTTTTTTAAGTTAGGGTCTAGCTTAAGCATAACGTATATGATTATACTCTAATTTATATTATTTTTAAAATCAAAATTAAATTTGAAATAAATGATAAAAATTCTCTTTTAAATTTGATAGCATTATGTTGGTTAAATTTTTTTATAAAAAAATTATTTTATTATTATTACTATTTGATTATTATTATTATTATTATTATTATTATTATTATTGATACGATGCTAGGAAAGGTCTTTTTGCAATCATGCTTGAGATGGAACAAGCTTATGATAGTATGGGTTGGGATGCTTTGAGGCAAGTGCTCTCTCATTTTAACTTTCCTACTAAATTTAAGGAACTCATTTTACAATGCATCTTAAATCCCAAATATTGCATATTGATCAATGGAAAGAAAACTGATTGGATTGAAGGGAAAAGTGGATTTAGGCAAGGATGCCCTTTATCCCCTTATTTGTTTATTCTTTGCTCTCAACTCCTATCAGATGCTCTAAATGGTAGGAAAGGGGATGTGGGGATCTCTGTTTCTCCCAAGGCTCCTAGAGTGTCCCATTTGCTTTATGGGGATGATATTTTGATCTTCTCGGAATGAAATCGATCATTAATAAATATTGTTTATGGTCGGGACAAAAAGTTAACAAGGGTAAATCTATGGTTATTTTTGGAAAATTTACCAACCATAGAACTAAAAAGAGAATCTCCAATCTTCTTAAATTTAATGTGGTTAAGGAGTTGAATTACCTTGGTGTAAAGATGACCTTGAGGAGAGTGGTTTCTTCGGATTTCTCTAAACTTATGGAAGTGGCAGCTAATAGATTAAATATTTGGGGACAAAAATTCATCTCTTTGGAATGCAAGATGGTGCTCATCAAATCAGCATTCCTCTCTCTTCCTATGTTCTTAACTTCAATTTCTCTTGTTCCTTTAAGTATTTTAAAGAGTTTGATAAAATGTGTAGAAGCTTTTTGTGGAAAAAGAAAGATGGAAATATAGGTATTCATTATGCTTCTTGGGAAAGGCTATGAAAGACTAAGGAAGAAGGCGGTAGAGGATTATTCTCAGCTGTATCAAGGATTGGTCCTCTACGGGCCAAACTGGCATGGAATTTCTGCACAAAGCCTTCTACCTTGCTGAACCAAATTTTAAGAGCTAAATATGGTGAAGACGTCTGGATGACTCCAATGAAAAGAGATTGCTCATCGACATGGAAAATCATCACAACGGGAGCTCATTTTCTTAGAAACATTGTTAGGTGGGATGTTTCTAATGGCAATTCGATCAATTGGATGTTTGATACCTGGATTATGGATAAAAGTATAGCAAGGTGGTCGACGTTTGTCAACTGTTTAGAACCAAGTGAATTCAATCTATGTTATTTCATTATAGATGGAAAGTGGAATATTGATCGCATTCAATTAGCATTTGGGGAGCATCTCATGAAACTTATTACTCAAATTCCAATTCAGGCCGTAAGAGGATACAATCTCATTGAGCTCAATTCTAAATTTTCAAGAAAGTCAATTGCTGCTTTGGCATTTCAAGCATTATCTGATAAAAATGGTGATGGTGTTATATGGAATTGGATGAAAAAAATTAAAATTAAGACCGAAGATTGAGCTCTTTTGGTGGAGGCTATATAATGATGCCATCCCTTCTAATGATTTTCTAGTTAGAAGGAAAGTGAGTAACTTCTCAGGTTGCCCGAGGGGATGTAAAGAAGATGAGAACGAATGGCATATTGCAAGGAACTGCTCAAAGCTTCATGAAGTGATTTCTTTACTCAATAACTAGGGCTTCAATATTCTGATCTTTAACAACTTACACGATTGTTTTGAAGGTTTAAAGAAGCTTGTAGGAAATAATTCTCTCATTGCTAATATGTATTGTACGACTACTTGGCTTGTGTGGAAAAGTAGATGTAAATTGATTCATGATGGCATTGAAGACTCAACCATTTCTTTGGCAGCAAATGTGGTCTCTACAGCTACAGTTAGCAACTTTATTAATCATGTACCGGAAAACTGGGATACTAACCAGCGAAAGCTATCTTGCTCTTGGTATCCTCCTCCAACCGGTTGGATTAAATTAAATGTAGATGCTTCTATCTTATCAAATAATGTGGCTGGATTTGGCGGTGTGGCAAGAGATGAGAAAGGAAGATTTCTTATTGCTTTTGGAGTAAATATTATGCACTGGGACATTGCTCAAATTGAATTGATGGCGATTCTTCATTTGAAAAATATCATCCGTGATTGGATGTTTGATGCTCAAGGAATCATAATTGAAGGAGATAATTTTAACATTATAAAACTTCTTCAATCGGCTTTGAAGACTTGGAAGGTTAGTAAATGCATTGAGGATAACTTGTCTTTCCTTCTTGATTTCAACCAAGTTTTGTTTTCTTTTACTAATAGAGATTATAACAAATTAGCGGATGTATGTGCTAATTTGGCTTTAAAGAGCTCGTTTGTTTGAGAAGATATTAGCTTTGAAGATATTCCTCCTTCATTCTTGTTTTGCTTGAAGGAGGAATGTGATTCTTTAGGTTTGCTTTAAATAGCTTGTATTTAGGCTGTTATTTTCTTATTAATGCAAGTTGCATTTCATCAAAAAAAAAAAAAAAAAGTTGGGTTTAAAAAGAGTTCCAAAAAATAAGAGAAAATATATATTTTCTTTTTTGCTCTCTATTTTTCTAATATTTTTTATTGCATTTCATTGAAATCCATTTAACCCTGAAGTATATAATTTCGATTCAAATAAATCTTATTTTTTATTGCATTGAAGTCCGAAAGATGGCTATTTTTTCAATTATTTTTATTGATTTATGATTTGTGAGGGAGCAATTCTTAATTCCATTAAATATTATTCATACTTGATAGTTTGATTATCCCTTTTTTTCTTAGGTTAGATAACATTAAGCTCATTTATTATTATTATTTTTCTATGTTAGGGTCTAGCTTAAGCATAACGTATATGATTATACTCTAATTTATATTATTTTTAAAATCAATATTAAATTTAAAGATAAATGATAAAAATTTTCTCTTTTAAATTTGATAGCATTATGTTGGTTAAATTTTTTTATAAAAAAATTATTATTATTATTTTATTTTTATTATCATTTAAGTAATTAAAATTTTGGCCACCCTACAAAAAGTTGGATCGACCCTGATTGAGATTAATTAAAATTGCCAAAATAGACCAGATAAATTAAGGAGCGTTAATAAAATTGTTACTAAACTTATTATATTAATTAATTAATTAATAGTTTAGACTCAATTAGCGTAATTTTTATTGATCTCAATTATCGTAATTCTTAATATCACTGTAGGATTTCGTTAATTTATATTTTTATCAAATGGAAGTTAAATGGGTTGTGTTGACCCGCGAAGCATAAATTCGGCGGGAAGAGAGCTGCAGAGGCAGTGCTGGTCTCACAAGTTTATCTCTTGGCTCTAGAAGATTTTCACCGTCTTCATCTTGCCCACAGCTTTGCCCTCTCTCTCGCTCTCGTTCTTTTCTTCTTCAATTTGTACCTCGGAGTTCTTTTACCTGGTGCTGCTTCTTTCTGCTCTAGATCTGAAAGGTTGTGAAAGTCTGTGTTTGAGATTAAGATTGGGACGATTGAAGGTGATTTATGTTAAATTTAAGGTTCATTTCTTTATTTTCTGTCAATTTTCTTTAATTTGATGTCGGTTCAGTTGTCCAGGTTCTGATTTACTTCTTAATTTTTTTTTAAATTAGGAAATCCATGGGTGAAGTCGCACCTGAAGTCTTCTTTGCTCGTACTGGGCGCAACCGCCAGCGCTTTGATGAAAATTATCGGCTAGTTGCTGGGTATTACTATATCTTTTTTCGTTCTGTAATGTTAATCGGTTTATCTGCAAGTAGGATTTTGTAAATCTTGAAAGGATTAAAAACTTATAACTGTTTGGCATGAGAACTGTTATATTTCAGTAAATCTGATAAACTGCTTTACTATTTGTTTTGAATTTAAGTTATGTTAGAGAAGAATTTTGAAACAGTTTTTTGGTATCTTATTTTAGATAGTATTCAAGCATGATTTAGCTTAAATGCTACCAAACAGTATTCTGGGACTTTGAATCAGTCTGTTTAGGTATCTCATGTTTTAACCCTACTATACGCTAAATTTAGGATTTGTCAGATCCTAACATTCCTATCAAACATCTGCTCTTGTTAGATGATGGGATTTGGCTGCTATTAAGGTTTACGTAGTCCTGCTAATTCAGACTAGGAAGTCTTAAGAGGATTTAAAATAAAAAATTATTTGGCAGGACAACTGTTAATCTAGTTAAATACTGGCAACCTATTTAAGGACTTATTTTCAGAATTTAAGATTTGTGAGAGAAGAAATCTTTAAATTCCATGAAGGTTGAAATTTAACAAATTCTGAATTTAATTAATAATAGGTTTGAAAAGAAATTTACCAAAATAGTTGGATTTTCAAAGCTTCCAAAATTATTTTTCGGAGGATTTAGCTAAATCTTGATTAAATACTTCTTAAAATAGAGTATCAAACAGCCCCTAAAGGAAATGACAAAAGAGGATGAAATCAGAAATCAATAGATTCAGAAGCAAACTCAAGAACATTATCATATAATGCCAAATTGTTTTGATACATTCTAATTTCCTTTCTTCACAATCTTTCAATTCAAACTCTGCAATAAGCATTTTATAAGTAAACTCCACCTGTTTTGTTTTTCTATTGTGTTTTGTTCAAAACAGTTGTATATTCGGATTTCAATATACCAAGATTTCCTGATACTATCATTATTTATTTATTTTTTTAGTTGACTTCATTTGATTCTATAAAATAGAATACTATGTGAAATTGATGTTAAATATAATTTATTAGATCCGTTAATTGTATCAAAAGTAAACTTCCATCAAAGTAATTAAAATGGTACAAAATATGCTTTTATTTACCTGATTATTTTGGGTGTATTTTATTGTGCTGCAACAGATGCATTCCTTACCGGCTAAAGCTAGTTCAAGATAAAGTTAGGGATGGTTTACTTAGTAGATTGGAAGTTCTCATGATTTCTTCTCCTAATCGTCATGATCTCATATTCCCAAAGGTGGTTATCTACATAAATTTCATTTTGTTCTCGGATTTGGTCAATTCTTATCTTCTTTCTTGTAGTTATGGAATTTCATTATTTTTTGTTTCAGGGCGGATGGGAAAATGATGAGACCCTTGGTGAAGCAGCTTGTCGTGAAGCTTTGGAGGAAGCAGGTGTTAGGGGAATTATTAACGTAATCTTATCTTAATTTATTTGCTATTCTAGTCCATTGATTTTAGGTTTCATTTGGGACAACTTTCTTATTGCTTTCTAAAACAACTTTCTTGTACAATATTTTTTGAATTGAAAATTTTTATACTAGAAAATTATTTTACAAAACAACAGTAGAACTGTCACAAATGAAAGCTTAGTTGCACTCTTATATCATGTTTGAAAGCTCAAATTGATGACTAGTACAATGTTTGACCACTGTTTTATTTATTGTTTTTTTATCTATGTTACCTAGGGGTAGTTTGGCATCCTATTTTAGTTAGGATTTAAGGATAATTTAGTTAAAATACTAACTAACAAAACTTAAGGGATTTTAAATCTTGTTATTGTGATTAATCCTATTTCATCCCTATGATTGATTAAATTCAGAATTTGTTAAATCCTACCATTTACAAGATTCTATGGGTTTAAGGATTTCTCCTCTCACAATTCTTAATATTGCTTCAAACAATTGAAAGTGTGACTTCAGACGAAATCCTTTCTAAGGAAAATTTAGGAACATTTCAGTTTTTTTTTTTTATGAAATTATCCACTCTATCTGCATACAATAATTTGGTATTAGATTCTTGCTCTTGATCTTTGAACTGTTGTCTTTATCGCACCTTTTCTTTTTCTTCCATGATGATACATTAATTTTCTGCCATGATCTTTGAACTGTTTGTTTTGGAATCATTAATTGAGTCTACTTGCTCTATGTTCTTGTTTTGAAGTTATAAATAGTCCAGCTCAAATAAATGTGTTAGAAGAGAAGTTCTTATTTTGTGGGGAAATAGGAGAAGTCTTATCAAATACATAGAGCGAAAAATAGCAAAAAATAAAAAGAATAGGATCTAAAGCACAGAATACACAAGAATTTTATAAAACTTCATTCAATTGATAAACTACATCCTCTTTCTAAGGTTGCAGATTTCACCCTGATTCGATTGTAGAGAATTTCTATCATAAATCCTCTGATTCAAACGTAAGATAATAATGCCCTCCTCTTTATAAAAGAAAAAATATAACGCAACTAGAAATATGATTACATTTTTAAAATGCTCTTAATGAAATAGTTTGCTATGAAATCTATATAATGTGGTTGTTTTCATTGGGCATTGGCAAATTAAATTACTTGACATCAATTTCATTAAATCATTAGTTATTCATCAGCTTTGGCACTCTTTAGTTAATTGGCATGTTCTGTCATATTCACTCCTAAAGACCATTCTACAACAAACAGGAATCTATATTAGGTGAGTGGAAATTTAGAAGCAAGAGCAGACAAAATAGTTGCAGTTTGGAGGGAACTTGTAAAGGCTACATGTTTGCATTAGAGGTGACTGAGGAGCTTCAATATTGGCCAGAGCAGGGCAACCATGAGAGGAGATGGGTTAGTCTCAAGCCATATTTTATGATGTTATTGATTTCTTTTCATATAAATATTCTGTAATTACAATGCAATGCATCTACAGGTTTGCGTAAGTGAAGCGTGGAAGCTTTGTAGATATGATTGGATGCGTGAAGCTCTTGCTGCTTGTATTAAGGTTCTTTCTGACCGGATTATATTTTCTAATGATAACTTAGTAGAGCCATCAAACTACTATTTTGTTAAAACCACAACGACCGAGCAAGCTATCGACAGTTTTTGCTGATGATTTCTTCTCACTGGCTTCATGTAAACAATGTGGATTGTAATTCACAGCCATTCCTTTGTCTCCTGTTTGCTAATGGCATTCTAATTAGTCTAATTGCTGTCTTTACTCTGTGCTAAGTGTGTTTTGCATCATATGTAATTGTTGCGTATATATCTCAAATGAATGTAATGTTCCTCGCCTATTTATAAACGGGTTTTGTGATAAAACATCATTTTGGGCTAATTTCCATTTCTCATTAAATCCTGGTAAAATTATATTTCATCAGCCATTAAAATATTGTAAGGCTTTTTTCCATATTGTTATTATTGTTGGTTATTGGTACTGATACAGTTCTTTTTCACGGGTTTTTATTAACTTCTATGCGAAGTCACATGTTAGTTATATGGGTTTTTATTCCAAAGATATGAATTGTGATTAAAATTAAGTTTAAGATTTTGTTTGGGACGGCTTTTTTATTGCCTCTTAAAGCAGTTTTCTAGTACAAAAATTTTAATTTTTATATTAAAAAGTTGCTTTAAACAGTAAGAAAACTATCCTAAATGAAGCCTGAATTTAAAGATAATTTGGAATTGAATTGAAGTTGATGATTATTGGAATGTTAATTATAAATTTTGATATTGATTTAGTGGTTCCTGATGGGCAAGCTAATATAAAATTTTGTTTTGATTGCTAGGCTCAACATTTCTCATTTTTTTCACACATACATACATCATCATGTTCGAGGGTTCTAAGAGAAGGAATGTCAAAATACGGAATAAATATAACGGTGGTAAAAAAAATAATAATGACCGGAGGTATGAACTGTTTAATGAATTTATTTTTAATCTTACTTTTTATTTTTACTTGTTTTCATTAAGTTTATGTTTATATAACAATGAATATTTTCTTACCCCCTTCTCTCTTAAGAAGCCTATGGTTAGTGAGATAAAAGAATTTATTCCTTATGCAAAGTCCCTAAAGAGATTTTGGCCAGCAAAGATATTATCATTATCATAGGAATCAACTGCAACCATGATTCTAACATTAAAGAGCAAATCAAGAGAGGATCTTGTTAGTCCTATGAAAGTCAGAGGGTTTTTAATCCTATTTCTTCTCATCGTTTAACCATAATGATAATGGATAATCATATATTTAAGGATGAACTTGTTAAACCCCTTCAGTTAAGAAAGTTAAACTCTTAAACATCGAGGTATTTTTTGGTGTAATGGTTGAAATTTTTTTAAGAAGCTCAGTAGTTAAGCATGCTAATCTCGAATCAATTCTGAGATGGGTGATCTACTGAGAAGTTATACTAACAAGACAAAATTGTGATGCTCCTAAGTCAAAGTAGACAATATCTCGATTGTTAAGAATTTGAACTGTTACAAAACTATCAATCCAACCCTAAAAATACCTTGATTCCCATCTATTGCTTACTGTGAATACCATGGGTAAGAATTTATGATAAAAATTAATACGTCATCAAAAAATTTATTTGATGGAATTTCATTTAAGACCATATGAACTCCGATTCACCTAATTATATAGTCAAAATGAATTTTTTAACGAGATTAGTTCAACAACATCAAAAGTATTCTGATTTGAGTCTAAATTAACTCAAATCAAGTACTTAAAATATAGTTAAAATTTTCATGATATTATTTGAGGGATCAAACAATCTTCAAATCTTTCAAGATTATAATCAAAACTAGTCATTTTGCTTAGTTATGTTTTGGGAATTACTGAACCAATATCTTATTGTCCATTATCTTATGCATAAATTTTGATGGCGAACCTCAACTGAATAATTAATAGATAATAAAACTTTGACAAGATTTTGTAAACCAAGGCTTAGTTGAAGCCTTATCCTGATGAAGAAAGCCATGTCGGCATATAAACCTGCACCACTTAAATCTCTTGGGGCCCTCCTTTCTCATCACATCAATTGCTTTATATGACATGAGACATCTAAGTTTTAATTTTCTGACACTTTTGAAGGTCATGACTTTCCCATGGCCGGTCTTATTCAAATAATTAAGTAATATGATGAAAAAAATTAGTTCTGTTCTTATTGATAATTATGCTTAGTCATCAGCTTTTAATATACAATTTTTTTTTGGAATTTATTTAACTCAAAATTGATCACCTCATATTACATAATCTAGATTTTATGCATCTCATAATGTATCATCTATTGATTCAAAGAAATATATATGAAAGTTCACTTTAGATAATATTTTTTCTAATAGTGATAAAATTTTCTATTTGTGGATAATTATTGAAATCGAAGTCCACTGAGATTGATTTGAGCCAAATTATAATCTCGGTTTGAACCATGAACAAGTTTCAAATTTTGAAGCCCCTTGAGAAAATAAAACTAAACTCTCAAAATACCGAGCCGCCTTTTGGAGTAACAGTTGCAGTTTCATTGTAAAATCCAAAGTTAAGTGTGCTACTTTGAATTTACACTAATGGAATAAAATCATGTGGCCACTATGTCAAAGCAAATACTATCTCGATGGTTGAAAGTTTCGATTGTTTTAAACGGTATCAGAGCAATACACCAGCTGGTAGATAGAAACTCCATATTTATAATCTTATCTGCATAGTGGATGATTTTGAGCTAAGGAAATTGTTAAGAACGTCAATTATATAAGTCGAGGAGATTGTGAAACCCCTTAGAGAAATAAAACTAAACTCTTAAACATTGAGGTGTCTTCTTGTGTAACAGTTGGAGTTTTATTGGAAACCTCAACGTTAAGCGAGCTCATATAGGAGCACTCTTAAGATGGTGACCTATTAGAAAGTTACACTAATGGAATAAAATCAAGAGACCATTATGCCAAAGAGGAATCAGAGCTTTCTCCTATGGTGGTGGGTGTACAGCCTTTTGGATTAGGGATATCACACAAATTAGGATCACAAAGTTTGAAGCTAAGTTTAAAGTAATCTCATCAATCTCTTATCATAGTGAGCTACCATTGTGACTAGTTCCGAGTTATGCTTTGCCACAATAAACTTTCTCTCTTGTGCACGTCACTAGGCTGATTGATACTTGGCTCCAATGAGCTCCTGTCTTGAATTCCTTGTCCTTCACATGATGTCGATGAAATTAATGTTTACTTCAGCAAGTTTCCTCATGAAATGCTCCTACTCCTTCACACATTGTTGATATATATATAATAATATAAAGTTTCTAACATATTTTTCTAAAAGAAAATATAAGAAATATATATGTCCAATTAAGAGTATTACAAGACCAGAAATTAAATTTCTCAAAATTTTATGTTGAATAGCATAAACTCGTCTCAAATTTTTTCATAAGATAAGTCACAAACCAAAAGCTATTAATTCTCAAGTTGATAATCAATGTTAAGCGTTCATTATTTATTCAGTTTGACTTATTATGAAGTATGCAAGAGAGAGAGAGAGAGCAGTCTTCTACAAAGTAGACATACAAAAAGGTTCTACTTACTCAAAAGAATCTTGTTTTTAATAATTCAACTTTTCATTTTATAATAATAAATATAATAAATAATTAGAATCAATTGCCAGTCTCAAGCTCTAGCAATTTTTGAAAAATATTTTTCTAGTCATAAAATAAAAGTGATTGCTAAATTTAAATCATAATGAAATTAAATGTTGATTTTAGGTCAAAAATTAATTGTAAAATTTAAGAGAAAATTAGCGAAAAAAATTATTTTAATCTTTTTGTGTAAAAGCACTACTCAATAGGCAAAACACAGCAATCTAACTAAACTATGGTGAATACAAATCATGATTCAACCAAGTTGTGAAATATAGGAAATAGATGTCTATGGCATACTTAAGTGATGCTCACCTTAGCCGTGGTAGTAAAATGAAAGAATTTTTTAGGACATCACTCACATGTGATACACCATAACTTAACACGAGCAAAGATGATTTGATCTCTTTATGTTTGAAGAATATAATAGCCAAGCAAAGGCCATAACTATATTGTACAATAACTAGGGATCCTTTTTTTTATTAAGTTGATTCAAATTTCTTCGAATTAGGTAAATATATATGAGCAATCAAATATGGTATAAGATGATCAAATGACCAAATGGCATAATATCTAATTGATCCCCTTAATTAAAGAAAACAATAGGCAGGGGTGAAAGAGAGAATCAAAGAAAAAAATTAATATCTAAGAACATTTTATAAATGATTAAATTATGGGGTTATAGTCTCTAAATTAATACGGGTAAATCATATGTCATTAATATATTATTTATCCTTTCCACAAATTAAAAAGTGATGCTTAATGGTTATATAATGGGTGTTCCTAAGTTATAATACAATTGATTTCCTAAAATGGTGATTCTGCAAGTGAGAAATTATTTTCTGTAATGAATGAGTGGAGTTTTACTAACTTTTTCATTTGATAAAATATCTTTAATATTAATGATATGATGAATTAGCTAATCAATACATAAATCATTGTGATCATCATTTGATATATTTTTGCTAATAATTTTAAAGGGGTCATAAGCCCATACACATAATTTCTTAAATTTACTTATTTAGTGATACTAAAAAAAAAAAAAGCAAGTCAAAATATAGTCGCTATTTTTAAAATCTTTTGTTGATCATTCATGATTTTCTTTAAAAATATATTTATCATTACTTAAAGTAATATATTGTCTTATGCCATTATGTAGGCTTTGAAAGTTCTTTATAAATATGAATATAAAATCAATGATTTCTTGAGATAGGAGGTATGTTACATCAATAAATTATATAGCATTTTGGCCATAAATTATTTCAAAATCTAAAGTTTTGTTTGTTCTAGAGATAATTCTATTCTATGCAAATTGAGATATAGGCAAATACAAAAAAATTTTTTAAACCTTTTCCTATAATTAGCCATCAAGTGGGTTTTCAAAGGTTTGCTTTACTCCTTTAGTTTATTCCTCAATTTAAGGATGAAAAGAAGAATTGAATTTCAATTTGGTGTAAAATAATTTTCATAAAGTATTCAAAAGTTAAAAAAGGCCTACATTATGGTCAGAAATAATGACTGAAGGAAGGTTATATATGTCATGCCTCAAGGTCTAATGACAAAAGTGTACCCATTTTTTAAAAAATTGCTAGAGCTTGGGAATGGAAATTGATTCTAACTATTTATTTTATTTATTATTATATAATGAAGAGTTGATTTATTAAAATCAATATTCTTTTGAGCGAGTACAATCTTTTTGTATGTCTACTTCGTATAAGGCTCCTCTCTCGCTCTTTGTTTTTAATGCATATACATCATAATGAGTTAAATTGAATAAATAATGAATGCTTAACATTGATTATCAACTTGAGAATTAATAACTGTTGGGTTGTTACTATCCTATTAGGTAATATTGAGTTGAGTTTATGCTATTCAACCTAAAATATTGAACAATTTAATTTTTGGTCTTATAATACTCTTAATTTGACAAAATAGATTTCTTATATTTTCTTTGACAGAAATATGTTAGAAAGTTTATATTTGATGATATTATCTTAAATAAAGGGTAACCTCTTGTAACTATGGATTGTTTGTTAAAGTCTACTCATTCTAATATTTTTTTGAACATTGCTCAAACTGGTTCAAACATTGCTTCAAATCATTAGGGGCATGCATCTATAGGATCAATGTGTAAAGGTGAAGAGGAACTAGCTCATTGTGGCCAAACATTGAGAATATCAAAATGTGGAGGAGGAATATGGCAATTGTTCACTGCTACTAGGCATGGATGAGACGAGCGATGAGCAAGGTGGTATTTATGATGGGAGCTTTATGGAACCTTGTCAAGGAGAAAAGGAGAACAAGGGGCTAGGCATTGATGATAGTTTGTTGGGACAAGACTTAGACTAGGCCAATAGTGTGAAGGAGGAGCAATTCATGAGGGA